TGATCAATTTCAGTTAGCGAGGAACGATTCTCGTGCTGCCTTACTATATATATATAGATACGAATAAATGATTATATATATATATAATTATTTCACTTTGTGAAAGTAGACACGTATAAAGTTATGACGTCACGAAAAATTAAAAAATAATCACAGAAACAAAAGAAATAATGAAATCCATAAGTCCATGCACAATGTTACATATAAAACACATATTTTGAGCTCAATTTTTAGTTTATTATTGAACTGTAGGTCTGTCTCTATGAAATATATATTTGTTCAAAAGAAGATCATTTACTCGTAAGCTCTAACAATCGAAGATATGAGCCAATTTCTACAAAGAAATACCTTTTTCTCTGACGAGATTCTCTAAAGTAACATTTAACTATTATAATTTCGTAATAAACTTTTTTTTTCAAAAAGAACCGAACCATCTGACTCGATAGTCTCACTTGTTTCTTTTTTTTTTTACAATGACACGACAGAAAATCTCACTACAGAAACCTAACCTAAACCTAACCTAAACCATAGTCCAAAACGAAATGCAAATTTCCTTCGGTCTTTGAAGAAAATTGATCAAAGAGTGATATATATTAGAAAAATAATAGTTCTTCCATGCGATTTGTCCCTTCGATCAATTTCAGTTAGCGAGGAACGATTCTCGTACTGTCGCCGATGAGAGAAGACATACTCAGGTGGCCTGGTCTTCGCGAAACACCCTGTATAAATTATAAATGATAATTATAAAATTATAATTATAATTATAATAATTATAATTAAATATATTATATATTAAATATATTAAATATATAATATAATTATAAAAATTGTAATTAAATATATTATAATTATAAAATATAATTATTATAAACGATAAAGATAACGATGTATTATAATAATTGTAATACTCTTTACGCGTGAATTGTTCCGAATAGGTGCACGCGACTGACAAAGACACAGGCGTTTACGGGAGTATCCGATACACCGGTATAATTGGAGAAGGCAGCGAAGCTTTCACCATGGACCCTCACACTGGATTCATAACTGTCTCTATGGGTTCTTCCTTGGATCGCGAGGTCGCAGCGACGCTCGTACTAACCGTCGAAGCTCGAGACGAGAATGGGAACGGGAACAGCGGCGTTGTTCCATTCATAGTCAATCTAATCGACGTCAACGACAACGCACCCATGTTCGAGAAGGACGTCTATGAGTTTATGTTGAACTCTGACCTGACTAACTTCACGTCGCCAGCTTTGGTAAAGGTACACCGACTAAATATAATTATTTTAACATCAAATTGACTACAATTTTCAAACAATTTCCTATACGTTACGTTGCTATTTCACGAGATGAATATTTTCTTCAAACATATATATATATATATATATATATA